AATTTGAAGCATCCAGATTTCTGAAGGCCGAGAGTTACTGAAATTTGCAAATGATATGTAAGCATCTCATGAGGAATTTTAACTTCCCTTCAGGACACTTTTCTGTCATATCTGTAAACCACAAATGAATTTTTGGATTTTCCCCTGCTTTCTTCCTCTTTGTCTTTATGGAGCTGGAGATTATTTAAGTGTTGATAAATGGAGAGTAAATATAAGCACTCTGTATGAATCATTAAATTGGAAAGCAGCTTTTCAATCCAAGTTGACTATTTTTTGTTTTTCAAGTAGGCTTCACGCCCAGAGCGGAGCTTGAACTCATGGCCCTGAGATCAAGACCTGAAATGAGATCAAGAGTCAGATGTTTGGGACACCTGGATGGCTCAGTTAGGTGAGAGTCCGACTCTTAATCTTGGCTCAGTCTGTAACCTCAAGGTCATGAGATCGAGCCCCCGCCCAGTGTGGAGCCTGCTTAAGATTCTCCCTCTCCTTCTGCCCCTTGCTTATGTGCTCTCTCTCGCTCTCTCTCTCCCTCTCTCCAAATAAATAAATAAAAAAATAAATAAATAAAGAGTTGGATGCTTAAGTGTCTGAGCCCCCAGACACCCCCAAGTTGACTATTTTAAATACTGTTTCCATGCAGTCTTTTTTTTTCTTTTAATATGAAATTTATTGTCAAATTGGTTTCCATACAACACCCAGTGCTCATCCCAACAGGTGCCCTCCTCAATGCCCATCACCCACTTTCCCCTCCCTCCCGCCCCCCATCAACCCTCAGTTTATTCTCAGTTTTTAAGAGTCTCTTATGGTTTGGCTTATTTTAATAGTTAATGGCTTCAGACGATTTGCTATGGCAATGATGGTCTTAGACAAAACTATGTTTGCCGAAAGTTGTTTTCCACACATTATGTTGTAAAATATGCAGACTTTGGGCACATGCTACTCCAGAAGTAACAGAGTTAAAAATTGGCTAAGTTCATGAAAAAATACATGGAAACTTCAAAGTTCCTACAGAAAAAAATACGTACAATTTTGTATATAATTAATTGTATAACAATATAATCATTAATTCACCATTAATCAAATAATTCTTGATTAGGTTGTATCTAATATGATTTTGGCCATTTGCACAAGTTTAAACTAATATTCTTAGTGAAAATAGCATGCAAATTTTCTTTTCAAACCTGTAAAATATTATAGAGATATTAACCAACTGAGCCCAGTTTCAACAATGAGCTATATTGATTTATATTATTATTATTATTTTATTATTATTATTATTATTATTATTATTATTATTATCTGATGTTTTTCTATGTAAAATAGTAATTTGGAATCTTTTCTACAAAAGCAAACAGCATTTTTTACAAATTTTCTTTATATCTTTATAAATATATCAACCACCCACAGTGGAATGAAAGAGATATTCATATGCTACCTGTATTGGTGATTCTGAAATCAATGGTTTGATAAACATAGAAAATAGTGTCATTGTATTATATGCCAGATGGGAAAAGGATTTTTTTAGAATTAATAAAACATATTAAAAGTGCTTGATTTATTTGGATAAACTTAGATTTGTTTAAAGCTATGGATTGAAATTATTATACGTGGTAATTTGTTATATGGGTTCACTTAAAAAAATAAATCATACTGTCTGTTGATGCTGTCCTCTGTGCCTGTACCAAAAACAAGGATGTTTAGCCTAAAGTTCTGAGCACATGTAAAGTCTTCAATATGGAATGAAACTATTCCGTGAAAACACACCTGTGGTTGGAAACTATTTTATCTAAATCAAGATAAATAGACTGTTTCATAGTTGACTCGACAAAAAATGTTGCACCAGCTTAAAACAAGTTTCTTTCATAATGTTAATTTCAGAAATGTTCTGTGAAGGCCATTGAAAACTTTCATTAGTCTGTTATAAATGCTCCCACCTGGAATATGGCCCAGGGCACACAGTTTCTTCTCGGAGGCAATTCCCTTATACATGGCTCTTCTTGTCACTCCCCCACTACTTTCCATTTTCCAAGAGGCAGTGGATGGCTAGGGTTTCTTTTGAACAAAACTGAGACACAAGGTAAACATCAATTAACGAGTGTCAGAATATCATGCAACATTTTTTTTAACGTGTAAGAATAGTCTATATGTAACAGAGGGCTCAGAGACCAGAAGTCAGTGTTTTTTGTTTTTGCAAACTTGATTTCTAAAAGCTAGTTAAAAGTTTATGGAAGTTGTCAGCAATTTTCTGATCCATTTAAATGAAGACCGTCCTTTGTTACATTTCAGAAAACACTGTAATGCACACTGTGATTTTGCAAAAGGGAAAGCCACAATCCTATTCTTCGGTGGAGGTGTTGGAGACCCCGAGGTGTTAAACTGCTCTTATAACGATGTTTCATAATCACTAGAGTTGCACCCTGGGGATTATTACTATTGACTCAGAGGCAGGCCTGTGACTGCAGAAGAGAAAATTGTTTTCTCTGCTCTTACAAGAGCCCCTGAGATAGGGGCAGGAGGGTTGACCTTAAAGTACTTGAGGGCATAGAAAGAGGTAGATAGCAGGAGAATATGGAGAAAGAAACTGAATGAGAGGCCATACATGTGTCAAAGACAATGATCTAAGGATTGTAGGAACTATGAGATGTTTTGTATCTATACCCTGGTTAACTCGATCAACACAATGGAGGGTACTTATCTAGCTATGTATTCTAATGGAGTTACTTATTAACTAAGATCCACAGACATTACTATCTTCAGCTTCTCATTAATATTTACTGATCTTCTATATGGAGATGATCTCAGTGGGGAGAATATTTAGGAAATATGTGGGGGCATTTTGGGTTGTCCCAATAACGGTAGAGAATTACTATTTACTGATTGAAGGCTAAGGATGTTAGCTATCCCTCAACATTTGAAAGAGTCACATACAACAGAGAATTCTCTTACCTCTATATGATTTGAATGGCCCATCATTCACATAGTCTAAAGGTAAGATAATGACCCGAGAACCTAATTCTGTAAGATACATAAAGCAAAGGTATTTTTTGCACAGATTTAAAGTTCACTGAATATTTCACGGATGCAGCAGTTGCATACACTAAGGGCATGGTTATCTTTGAAAATTTACCAAGCTTGTTCACGATTTTGGAAAATGTATCACCAATGGCAACCCCATTCCAAAAATTTGAGTGACAATTACAAACCACCTGTAAGTCAGTCTGCGTGCATTTGTATCTACTGCGTTGTCAGTGATTCCAAGCATAGGAATGAACATTGCACCTCGTGTCCTGTGTCCCATGTGCTTCCAGTGTAGTCACTCCGAACTTGTATACAGTAATATGTATAATATCTTATTACCAAATAATTTCCTTCGTTTTTCCTTCCTTTTAAAGGACAGGCGTTATATTTCTTTTCTATTTATTAGGAAATAATTTGTTAAATCTACCATCATGCTACCTCGTTTCTGTTTTTACCACTTTTTCTTGTATGGAAAAGATCTGGAAACAAAGTAAATATCCTTCAAAGAAGAATTAGCTGAGTCGATTATGATATATTTGTGCCAGGGAATATTTCACAACAATCAAAAAGAATGAATTACTGGGGCACCTGGGTCGCTCAGTCACTTGAGTGTCCAACTTTGGCTCAGGTCATGATCTCACGGTTCGTGGGTTTGAGCCCTGCATTGGGTTCACTGATGTCAGCGCAGGGCCCACTGTGGATCCTCTGTCTCCCACTCTCTGTCCCTCCCTCGCTCATGCTCTCTCTCAAAAATAAGCAAACAAATGTTAAAAAAAGGTTTTAAAACAGAATGAATTACTTTTGTCTCAAAGAGGTTTTGTATTGCTTGGGGAGAAAAATCAAGATATGGTGAAGCATGTAAAATAAAATGCCATTTTGTAAAAATAGGCCATGATATAATATAAAATATTGATGTGTGATTATATGAGATGAATGACAAACATGGAAACATTTATACCAGGTTGTTATCATGTATTATTTCGTGGGGCTGGCAAAGCATAGGGTCATGAAGGAGAGTTTAGGCAAAGAATAATAGAGAGAAAATGCATGTGCTTGCACATTTAAGTAAAACTGCATATGTATGTACAGAGAGAGAGCTGAACATTTTAATACTAAAGATTTAAATAAATGAAAAAAGGAAGAACACCTATCAAAGTGGAAAAGCTATGACTGATTAAAAAATACTGTTGGGAGATTTCATCTGAGAAAGTCATGAATTCAAAGTGTGCTTTTGGGAGCAGTTCATTTCCTATCACGTGCCTCGGTGAATGCACTCACTGCAGTTTTCTATAACTGGTGTACAAGAACATGTTCTGGGTCTTACAAAAAACACGAGGCTGGGACACATGACAAGGGATGTGTCTGCGATCACACTCCAAGTCTGGGTGACCTGGCCTGTGAGGATTCAGAGTTCGCGCTTAAGTGCTGTGAGCTTAACCCACAACAGATTTTGCCCAATGAAGGACGTTTTTGGAAGTTCAGTTTAAAAAAAAAAAAAAAAAAAAAAAAAAAAAAAAAAAAAAAAAAAAAAAAGCACAAGACTGAAGCATATTTTAAAAATATTTTAAAGTCTTTCAAGTTAGAAACAAAATTTCCTGTAAGAACCGTGGCTATTTTCCTCATCGTTGAATTTTTTCAAATGCAATCCTGTTAGCCCATTTCTGATCTTGTTTTACTACTTGCTGAAAATGCAGCAATTCAGAGGGAGACACGTACATTTTATTCATTCTAAATATGTTGAGGCAATTTTTATTGAAATTAGAGAAACCTAAACTCTAATGATTACTCAAACAATAGGTTTCTGGGAAAACAACAACAACAACAAATGAACCATAAAATGCAGAAACTAGTTCTGAGAAGGAAAACTTCTATTTTCTATTGGCCTAATACCTTATCAACAGGAAAGGTTATAGATCACTAAAAATAAAATAAACAAAGGGATTTTCCTCTTCAGAAGAAGGTGAGTTTTGGGCTCCTTCTGGTTACTTCTTCTTTCCTTTCTTCTTTTCCCGTGTGTCAGGAACCGGCGTCTTCTTTTCTGTCTCCGCCCGACTTGCTGCTTCGTCCGCAGCCAGAGCTTCCAATCTTAGGCGCTCAGCTTCCAGCAACTTCTTTCTATACTCTTCCCGGACACTGAAGATCTTCTGCCGGGCTTCATCTAAGGAGTCCTATTCCAAAACAAAACCTCAAGCAATTAAGGTTTACTGATAAAGAGAGAAAAAATTTTTTGAAAGCAATCCCTTTATCCCTCCCTTATGCCCATAGATTCACGTGGCAAATTACTGAGGCCAGATGAAAATTAGGTTATGGTCTCAAATGTCTATCAATACATGAAACACGAGAAGGCAACAAAGGGGTACAAGAGATTTTAACAGAACGGGGAATAAAAGCATCAGCAGGAGAAAAAAGAGAGAAAGGTGAAGAGATAGGTATGCATTCAAATATAATCTATAAAACATGCAGCTCATTGTGTCCCTCACAGGAATTGTGCTAAGTTACTAGTTTCCCACATTGTTCTAGCCCCAATGAAATGTGTCTGAGCTATATTTGAAGAACTTTCAAATAATATCACCTAGTTCACTGGTTACCTTTGTTATTGTCAGTTTGGCTTTCATTCAAGGACACCAAACTGAATCTGAAATCACATCTGGGTCCCATTCTTACTCACCTCTACTCTCACCACCGGGATCAATTGATTCACTTGGTTTTCTGGACAATACATCCCACTGAAGTTTCTTCTACTTCACTAGCTGCTCTGTATCAGTTGCCTTTGCTGATTTCTCCTTTTCCCCTTCATCTCTCTCTCTCTCTCTTTTTATTCCTTCATCTCTAAATGAGGGGATGGCCACATCTTAGATCTTAGGCCTCTTTCCTTGCTGATTTTATGTAGCCCCATTGCTTTAAATTCATTTCGCTACCGATGGGTCCCCCAATTTTTTTAATCTCCAGCCCAAACCTCTCTTCCAAATTCCAGAACTATATATGTAATTTCTATTCAACATCTCCATGTGACTGTAATAGATATCTAAGAATTCTGGTTTTTTTTTTTTTAAGTTTATTTATTTTGAGAGAGAACATGAGCAGGAGAGGGGCAGAGAGAGAAGGAGGTAGAGAGAGAATCCCAAGCAGGCCCTGCACTGTCAACATGGAGCTCAATGTGATGCTTGAACTCATGAATCATGAGATAATGACCTGAGTCGAAACCGAGAGTCAGACGCTTAACCAACCGAGCCACCCAGATGCCCCAAGAATGTTTTTTTTTTTTTTTTGGTCCAATACATATATCAAAAAATGTCCCAAACTGAAATCTTTCTTTCCTCTCAAACCATCAGATTTGATGGCCTCTCAACCCTATCAGTTGTTTAAGTGAAAACCTCAGAGTATTTCCTGACTCTTCACTTTCTCTTATAATATACCAAGAATCCATCAGAAAATCCTGAGTCTACTTTCAAAATATATACAATATTCAATTGCTTTTCACTACCTCCACTCTGCAACTTGGTGTGAACCACTGTTATGTGTCCAATGCATCCACCTCCTCACAGATTTATCTGCTGTTACACGTGCCCCATTCCATACTTACTTGTTTTCCACACAATATTCAGAGTACTCCTTTTAAAACAGAAGTCCAGGGGCGCCTGGGTGGCTCAGTTGTTTAAGTGTCCACCTGCGGCTCAGGTCATCATCTCACGGTTCGTCAGTTTGAGCCTCGTGCCGGGGTTTGTGCTGACAGAACCTATTTCAAGTTCTGTGTCTCCCTCTCTCTCTGCCCCTCCCCCACTCATGTGCGTGTGCATGAGCGCACATGTCCCTGTCTTTGTCTCTCTCTCAAAAATAAATAAACATTAAAAAATTAAAAATAAAATGGAAGTCAGATCATGTTACCCCTCTGCTCTTTAGAACCCTGTCGTGGTTCCATACATCCCTCTGAATAAATGCTAATGTCCTTACAGTCTTTTGCAAGCCCTATGTGATTACCTTGTCTGTCCACTTCCCCCCAGTTCCTCTCTGACCTCCCCTCCCACTCATCTACCCCTGGCTCATTCTGCTCCAGGGGCACAGACCTCCTTGCTGTCCTGCCTCTAACGCACCAAGACCAAGTGTTCACTCCCCCGGGGCCTTTACTCCAGCCAGTATCTCTTCTGAATCACTGTGTTCTCGTAGTGTTCCACTTTTCTTTTTTTTCAACACTTTCCCTTTCTATCATACCATACCTTGTATTTATATATTGTGTTTGTATTTTAGCGTCTTTTGCTCCACTAGTACATGAGCTCCACAATGGCCAGGGTTTATCTTTTTTGCTCATGCTTAGGACAGTCCCTGATACAAAAATGCCCAGAAATATTTCTTGAATGAATAAATTGTGGAAATGGGAACTATCAGAAAATAATAAACGGGTAAGGATAGTTTCTCTATAGTTTAACTGTCCTTAAATATAGTTTATATTTTTTTTTAAAAAAAGGGTAATTTTCTTTTTTAAAAAAATGTTTTATGTTTATTTTTAGGAGAGAGAGATAGAGTGCAAGTAGGGGAGGGGCAGAGAGAGAGAGAGGGAGGGAGGCACAAATCTGAAGCAGCCTCTAGGCTCTGAGCTGTCAGCACAGAGCCCGAGATGGGGCTCGAACTCTGAAACGGTGCGATCCTGACCTGAGCCGAAGTTGGACGCTTAACTGACTGAGCCACCCAGGCCCTCCCCACCCCCCCACCCCCGCCAAAAAAAGGGTAATTTTCAAAGCTGTAGTCAAGAACTGAGTTAATGACCTATTAATGACTGACTTAATGGCAACATTTTAGAAATGGCTTCCCTGAAAATGTTCACAAATAAAGCAGTGATAACTAAGGGCCAATGTAGGTTTATGAAGAGGCTTTGGCTTTCTCATTTCACTTGCGTTTCTGATAGTATGGGTACAATTATGGTTCAACCTGTTGACGGTTTCCTGTTTCAAGAATGATATAATTAAAAACAGAAGGATGAACGAACTGATGCTAACCAGAAGAGAATCTTCTAGAGTGACTGTTTTGTCTTCATTGCTGAATTCTTCAAGAAATTTTGCCTGGTTTTGCAACTTGCAGAAGTTGAGTGGAGACTGCAGAAGAGCTAAATGCCAGAACCAGGCTCTTCTCCACGCTTTGGGTGGAAGCAAAGCACTGTATCTACCACAATAAAATCGGCTTTACTAAACCTACTGCATGAGATGATAGTGGTGCCATATTAAGAAGAGAGAAAAAATCATCTAAAGGGTTTAGTGTAAAGTAAGTTTAATATATATCCGTAACCTCTTGAGGATAGGCATGCTTTTCTCCCATCTGATGAGAAATGTCATGCTGATGATGTTTCTATTAAGATAGCTTCAATCAAAACTAGGATTTTTGTACCTCACACTTAAAGAATGAGATCTGAATTAAAAACCATCCCAGTTGATACGTCTTCCCTTATGGCCTTCCCATCTACTGCATTTTCTTGTCTTTTAAATACAGAAAGAAACTAGCTGATTGGCAATAATGAATTTCCCTTTTGTCTTATAATATTTTAATTTAAACTATTTTCTATACGATATGAGCTGAATTTACATAATTTTAACATCCATTTATGGATTCACTGATTCATTTTTGAAACAAATTTCTGTGAAATAGACACCTCTTCCAGGTTTGGGGTATACAACAGTGAATCAAACAAAGTCCCTGTTCACATATGATCTATATTCTACACAAGATATATTTAAAATGTGTGCATGTTATATACATATATATGTTATATACGAATATTATATATTTATATATGATAAAGAAATACTTCTAATATTTATAAATAACATGTATCAAATACATACCTTCCCATGCTAAACCATGGTAAATCCTGTAAAGAAAATAATAAGGCCAGATACAGGTATACAAATCTTGAAGGGTGCTAATTGAAAAATAATAGCTTAGAGAAGATCTCTCTAATAAAATGGCAATAGATGAAAGATCGCAGAAAGTGAGGCTGTAAACCATTTGGCTGTCTAGGGGAAGAATATTCCAGGAAGAGGTGGGAGCAAGCCAAAGGCTCAGAGGTGGGAACATGTCTGGCTATTAGTGGAAAGGTGAGGTCAGTTTGGAAAAAAAACAAAAGAAGGAAAGCATATAGAATCAGAAAGAAAAAGATCAGAGGGGAAAGTGGACACTAGATTATAGAGAGCTCTAGACACCATAGTTAAGCCTTTATTTCTTAGTGGAAAATGAAGCCACTACCGGAGTGAGATAGTCCCACTCTCCATTTTAAAGATGTACTATGATCCGCACCAGCACAGTTGTTTGCAGTTGTTCTCCAGGCCTAGGGTAGCACTGCACTGCGTATTAGCATGCTAGGGCTTTCGTAACAAAGTGCCACAGACTGGGTGGCTTAAGGAACAGTAATTTAATGTCTCAGGGTTACTGATGCTAGAAATTTGAAATCACGGTGTCAGCAAGATTAATTCTTTCACTGAAGTTGTATGTGACCATGTGACTAGCTTTGGCCAATGCAATGTGACAATGAAATGTAACTGTGAGAAGGACCCTCTGCTCAACTTCACTGGACCTGTAGCTACAAGGAGAAATACTCTTTTACTGTTTTCATCCAGCGGTTGCTCAACAAAGGCCTATGGAAAAATCTGGCTCATTGCCTCGTTTTCCAAATAGAATTTATTGAAACACACGTAGGCGTTATCTTTGACTGAATTTGTGGTAACAACGGCAGAGTTAAGTAGATACAACATATGGTCTGCAAAGGCAAAAATATTTACTATCTGGCCCTTTATAGAAAACAAAGTTTGCCAACCCCTGTCTTAAACCACTGAGACACTGTGGCTGTCTGTTACCACAGGATAAAATAGTTTATCCTCGTGGTTAGAGTCATTTTGGTTTCTAACAGAGATTCCATTGTAGAAGGACATGATGGAAGCAGTGAGATCAGTCAGGAGGCTATGGCAATAGAATAGAAAACACAGACCATTTGGACTATGGTGGTAGGGGTAGAGAGAATGAAAGGTGATTGAATTAGAGATATGTTTTCAAGATAATGTTGGCAAATGTTGATTACGGGTTAGATGAGGGAGGTAAGAGAAGTCAAGGATGTCTCCAAAGTCTGTACTCTGAGCAATGGAAAGACTACAATTGCCCTTCCTGGGTGGGGAATATTGATGGAGGAAATGTTTGGGCTGACATGAAAGAGAGGGCAAAAATGACAAGAATGATAGAATAATGGATTTGGAGAGGTTTGGTTTAAGATGCCTATTGGACAAACAAGAGAAGGTGTCAAAGATGCATATTCCTCAGATCAGCTAGTGCTGGAAACAACATAGAGAACCTAATGTCACTGTGGCTGAAACGTTTAGAAAGTCTTGTAGCCATCAGTATCTTTGGGAGTGTGTGTGTGTGTGTGTGTGTGTGTGTGTGTGTGTGTGTTGTAGGAAAGAGGGAGGAAAAAAAAGTCTTTATCCACTATAGTGGAAGTCAGCGATATATATTTATCGAATTTTCCCATTACTTGTATGATACTTCCATTTTTAATTAAACTTGGTCTTCTTCACTACGCTAATCCACCCCCACCCTTTTTTCATTTTGGACCTTGTCTAAATAAAGCAACTTTAGTCTTCTGCTAGGGTGGAGGGACAGTCACCTGGCTACAAAACATTGAGTTGGTGATCTGAAAACGAACTACTTCTTAAATAGCTTCAAGCCAAGTAAAACCAAAAGTCTTGTCTTCCTCCCACCTCACCTCCATTTCTTCATGTGGCTGATGCCACCAATTGCTGAGCCTTTTAGGGATTCTATGGAGCGAATTGGATTGATTGTTTAAGAGCTTTTCTACTGCCACCTTACAATTTGGGTGCCTCAAGTCTATTAATACGTTCTTCATTCAGCTCTCTGTCAACTTCACAAGTATTTGGTCATTGTCTTCTTTCTCCTTCTTATTTTGTGGATAGATTCCCAATACTGCATTTTGGAGGGGTTTAAGGAAGTGAAATTAAATGTGTTTCACCAATTCTCCACCTTTTCTGAGGAGCTGACGACTAAATACTTTCAAAATGTCTTTCTACCCAGTCCTACATGATTCTATGGTATCTTTTCAACATTATAAGAGAATGTATCAACTCTGACCCATGGGTGTATGTTGAGACTCACCCGCATTTCCCCATACATCTCCAGGATTTTATCCTTTATTTTAAGCTGTTCCTCTTGCTCAATGTCTCGAATGCTGAGTACTCTGGTCCTATACTGTCGGAACTGGTGAACCTCTTCTGCCTTTTGCATTGCCTGCTGCTGGTTCAGATCCTCTGTTTGTAGCACAGGATCAGCGTCTCTTGTTTTTCTACAAAGACATCACAGGAGATGCATAAATCATTTGGAAACACTGCGATGAACTTTAGAATTCAAATAATTTAAATTCGTCTTGACAGTGTGGTAGACTGAATCCAATAGAATATTAGCAATAGAAAGAATACACTGTTATTTTTTGATTGGCTATGCTCCATTTACTGGTTCACTAATATTTTAGGAAACAATTCTAGACAAATACCAGTAAAATTCGATGCTCCATCTGATAAGGTGTTCGTGGGATTGGTGTTGGAAACTATGAGATTATTTTGGAGGTTTTCTTTTTAATTTATGCAGCTAAATAATGTTGAAATATTTTCAAACTTATAAGTATGCTTGAGTAACTATCTCTCTATTAATCCTATTGTCTTCTTCTTAATAAAATTGAACCTACTAAAAATTAAATTAAATTAAATTAAAATAAATTAAATTAAATTAAACCTACTTAAATAATGCCAGCAGACCTAGTGGGAATTTTTTGTAGCTCAACTCCCCTTAATCAGCTTGCAAACTAAAATGTTAAAGAAAATACTTAAATGCTTTTATGATTGACTTAATAAAAGATTTGCTAAATGGAAGATGTAAAACCACGTACATCTAGAAATTTGAATATACTGAAAATATATTAAGCATTTAATTTCAAATTTTCACTAGTTTAGTAACTGGTTATCCCTGTATCAAAAATTCTGTGAACAGAGATGTTTGCATTAATCGTGTCTATTAAAACTTACCGTACATATTGTGTTATGTCTACACATTCTATTGCTTTTCGAATAAGTTGTGGAGACATTTCCAAAATTGTTGGGGATCGCGAACGAGGCCCTGTTGAAAAAATAAGTCCTAGATTTTCAAAAAAGAATAGACACTAACAGACAGTTACATCTCATTTTAGTTAAAAATAATATCTTCTGTTTAAGAAAAATAACCACCATTTTGGGCACCTGGGTGGCTTAGTCAGGTAAGCATCCAACTTAGGCTCAGGTCAGGATCTCACGGTTCAGGAGTTCAAGCCCCAGGTCAGGCTCTGTGCTGACAGCTCAGAGACTGGAGCCTGCTTCAGATTCTGTATCTCCCTCTCTCTCTGCCCCTTGGCCACTTGCACTCTCTCTCTCTCTTTCTCTCTCTCTCAAAAATATATAAACATTAAAAAAAAAACACTGATTGGACTTACCTAATTTAATATTATTTTAATGTGATTTTATTTTAATGTGACTCAATATGATTTTATTAAAATTTAATGATATTTCGTATTTGTCCTCTGGCTGGTGTTACTGTACTTACAGCAAAATGAAGGAGCAAAGTGCATATACTCTATAAGCAGAGTAACAGAACGTTATCATGACTGTAGTTAAGTGAAGGTAGAGACAAAAAGGAAAAGTCCTACTGTACTTCATTATAAACAAATTAAGTGACCCAATATTGAAAACGCTTAGTCTAGGCGTGAAAGGTCTCATAAGCATTATGGGGGTGGAATGTAAAAATACTTAAGACATAGTACTCTAATTCAAGAAACTTGTAGATCCAGCGGAGTGGGTAACATACACCGAATGCAAATCAAGTTAGCAGGAGATCTCTACCCCAGAGACCCATAGGTACCCACTAGAACGTACTTAAACAAGAGACTTTAGAGTCTAAAATAGTAACCATTCAGCCTTCCCAGGACATTTAATCTCCTGTTTAAAAATTTCTGGAGTATAATTTACATGCCATCAAATTCCCCCATTTTAAAAGTGTAATTCAATACGTTTTAGTAAGTTTACGGAGTTGCGCAACCAGCACCAAAACCCAGTCTCAAAACATTTCCGCTCTCCACGCAGATCTCCTAGGCTTTTTACATCCCCTCTCCATTCTCACCTCAAGCCTTGGGCAGACATCCATGGACTCTGTGTCTACACATCTGCCTTTCCTGGATATTCAATGTAACTAGGAATGGTAAAATGACATCTAACTTCTTAAAGAAACTGTCGAATTGTAGTGTTTTGATTATTGTTAGCTTCAAAGAAATTCTGAAATCATGAAGTAAAAATCCTCCTCCTTGGTTCTTTATCAAAGTTATTTTGATCATTCTGGGTCTTTTGCATTTCCAAATAAGTTTTGAGATCAGGATGTTAAATTCTATAAAATGTCTACTAGAATTTTGATAGAGATTATACTGGATTTATAGATCAATTTGGGGAGAATTGCTAACTTACTATAGTGAGTCTTCTAGTCCAAAGCATGGACAGCCTCCCTCTTTAGATTTTTAAAAATTTCCATTAGTGATGTTTTGTAGTTTTCAATAGACAAGTCTTGCACTTTTGTTAAATTTATTTCCATACATCTGTTACTGACATTACTGTGAATGAAATTGTCTTAATTTAGATTGATAATATATATTGATAATATATAGACATAAAAATAGTTTTTATATATTACCCTTGTATCTTGTATTTTTTTATTTAGTTGTATGCTTTCAGAGTTTAATTTTTTTTTTAATTTTTTTAAGGTTTATTTATTTTTGAGAGAGAGAGAGAGAGACAGAGTGTGAGTGGGGGAGGAGCAGAGAGGGAGAAGGAGACACAGAATCTGAAGCAGGCTCCAGGCTCTGAGCTGTCAGCAGAGAGTCCAACACGGGGCTCAAACTTGGGACCAGTGAGATCATGACCTAGGCTGAAGTCAGATGCTTAACCGACTGAGCCACCCAGGTGCCCCTAAAATGTATTTTAATTAATTGTTTTCAGTTTATTATTGCTTTTTGGGAGAGGATATGTCAAATCCATGCAAGAGGTCTCATGCCCACTAATCCTGCTTTTTACATGTGGTTGCAATAGGCTTCAGAAATATTGTTAAAGTGCTTAATGTATAACAACTTGTTAAAAATTATCACTCATTCAGAAATGTAATCTAATGTAAACCTTTAAAAACATTTTTAAAATAATATCCAAATTAATTTTTCATTTTTTCAAAAACATAAAGACATGGTCCATGTGAGAAAACAGAATATTTCAACTCTACTCCATTATTAAAACTTAAATTCAATCAAGTTTTTTATTTTATAACATTAAATAAAATAATCCTGAGGAATTAACATTTTACCATTTGTTTCTTAGAAACCAGTAGCCGGGGTGCCTGGGTGGCTCAGTCAGTTTAGTGTCTGACTTCAGCTCAGATCATGAGCTTGTGGTTCCTGAGTTCAAGTTCTGGATTGGTCTCTCTGCTAACAGCTCAGAGCCTGGAGCCTGCTTTCGATTCTGTGTCCCTGTCTCTCTGCCCCTTCCCTGCTCATGTCTGTCTCTCTGTCTCTGCCTCTCTCTCAAAGAATGAATAAACATTTAAAAAAAAGAAAAGAAATCAGTGGCCAATAGTTTTTTCTTTTTTCATTGTGATTGCTATGGTATCTAAAGTTCATTTGCTTTTCTTATGAACATACCTACTTATGCTGGGTATATTTTTGGCAGTTCAAACATGAGTGATTTCTATAAGACACCAACTCTGCTGACTTTGGAAAGAAAATACTTTCTGATTAGATGTTTGTGTTTTCTTACATCCTGCCAAGTAACATACATTTAAGCAGAAGAGGGTGTGGGAAAGGGACAAAAAGGATTAACTTTCATGTTCTTCTACAAAGCTCTGTTGTGTCAGAAAAGCGTATAAGAGTACTATGACAGTCTTGTACCTCTAGAATAGTACAGCCCAAAGTTTGTGTGTGTGTGTGTGTGTGTGTGTGTGTGTGTGTGTGTGTAGGTACCATCCTTTGCAAACTGAGTCTCTATGGGATAAGTTCTGAAAGTGAGAATATGTATTTAGAAATATCTTTATAGTAATTGGTCATCACTGGGTCATTTTATTACATTTTTCAAAAGTTTCAGCTTCCAGCAGACTAGGGGAGAAGACTGACTTCATCATAGGTAGTCTGAGAATCTCTGCTTAAGACCTAGTGATTGTGATGGCCTGGCAAAAGATGTGGGAATAAAGACAGAGATCACCTGCAACCTCTGGAAGAGGAATTTTCTAGAGGCTCCCAGAGATCAAAGGGAATTTGAAAGCAATGTTTATACTCTTGACCTTGATGATGGCTTTGGTATTGAGGAAGAATGCGTAGGGGTAAAATCCATAATGACATCATTTCCATGTCCTCTGGTACTATGAAAGAAATCATCTAAGTTACCTATTGTATGAAAATATAAAGTGGCAAGAATAAAGTAGTTTTCTGGGAATCACAAGTATCTCCAGGTGTGTAGAGGCCAGATCACCCAAAGCTCTCATAGGATCTGTAATCTCTTATGGGTGATGCTTCCCCAGGAGTGAGGGCCAATATGACAGAGGCACCAACAGCAGAGGTGGCAACAACATACAGAGTTCCAGAGAACAGCTGGACAGCCAGACCCATGGCTCTCAAACAAGATTCCTTCTACTACCCCAGTACCTGGAGTACATGGTAGTGTTTCGGTGCTATAAGATGTGCGGGAAACACAAAAGCACCCCTCTTCTCAGAGGAAGAGGGGCTCAAGTTTACTTGGTAGTGTGATTAAATTTATATTTTATTTTATATATAATATATTTTCATATTATTATATTATACATATGTTATTTATATTCAATAAGAATTATAATAAAACACATTTAAGAACGTTTGGGGGGAATTTTGCTTGAGGACAGGCTGCTTTGCCCTCAGTCGTCCACTCCTGCTCACGTTTACTTTTCCTCCGTGTTTCCTGCCCCTTCCTTTCTGCCCCAAAGTACACTCTTTCATGGGGATGTGAACTTTAGTACAAAGGTATGAAACTCTGCCGGCCAAAAGTATGAAGACCTGAGAAGCAGGAGAGCCGACACTGACGCAGCCCCTCACAGCACTGGTCTGGGACTCAGAGTGAAAGTGAAAGCAGGGCGCCTGGGTGGCTCGGTTGGTTCAGCCTCTGACTCTTGATTTCAGCTCAGGTCATGATCTTACAGTTAGTGGGTTCCTGCCGTGCATCAGGCTCTGTGTCAGCAGTGCAGAGCCTGCCTGGAATTCTCTCTCTGCCTCTTCCCTGCTCTTCCTTGTGCATGCACTCTCTCTCTCTCTCTCTCTCTCAAAATAAATCAACTTTAAAAAATAAATGAAGGGGCGCCTGGGTGGCACAGTCGGTTAAGCGTCCGACTTCAGCCAGGTCACGATCTCGTGGTCTGTGAGTTCGAGCCCCGCGTCGGGCTCTGGGCTGATGGCTCAGAGCCTGGAGCCTGTTTCTGATTCTGTGTCTCCCTCTCTCTCTGCCCCTCCCCCGTTCATGCTCTGTCTCTCTCTGTCCCAAAAATAAATAAAAACATTGCAAAAAAAAAAAAATTAAAAAAAAAAATAAATAAATAAATGAAATCTCCACCATGCCTGTGGGACACAGTACCCGAGGCTGGTGTGAAGAATCATGATTACATTCAATTTTTGCAACTTAAAAAGCTACCTTATTAGCACATAAATAAACAGTTGACCTCAGAATTTAATTGTATTTTCATTCCACAGGTTTCTAATCGAGTGTGGGGAAAAATTTGCCTTCTGTTAGAGATCACAACGTGCGGAATTCCAAGAACTAGGGTTTGATTCACTACAAACTGTTTTGGCTTCCTGCCCTAGGGTGAGGCATTCATCAATCACATCAGTTTTGAGACAGGGATACCAATATAGGGTTTGTTTAGCTCAGGGAGGCTCTAGTGAGATAATATATGCAAAACCACTCTACAAATTAAATGTTCATATAGAATGAGAAGTATTATTCTAATAAGCTTTAGTGTTATGTCATGTATGTTATTTATTAAATGAGTGCTTGCTGGGGCGCCTGGGTGGCGCAGTCGGTTAAGCGTCCGACTTCAGCCAGGTCACGATCTCGCGGTCCGTGAGTTCGAGCCCCGCGTCGGGCTCTGGGCTGATGGCTCAGAGCCTGGAGCCTGTTTCAGATTCTGTGTCTCCCTCTCTCTCTGCCCCTCCCCCGTTCATGCTCTGTCTCTCTCTGTCCCAAAAAAATAAATAAACGTTAAAAAAAAAAAAAAAATTTAAATGAGTGCTTGCTTTCAAAATATTGGCTCAAAAATCAAATCTTTTGTAACTATAGTAAAACACCCTTTGAACTTTGGAATTTTCTTCTTTCCTGTGGAAATCCTTCAAGGACGTGTTTTAACCTTAAACAGTTTTTAATTTTAAGCTTCTCAGAGTGGTTTAATCATTTGGAGAAAACCATTTTTGGTGTTTCTGAGGATGCATCCTTCCAAAATATCTTTCTCTCCTGCCTGGGCTCTGAATAAGTAGGGACATAAAGAGTAAGATTGTACTCCTGATACAGGTATGGTTGGAGGATGTAGCTTGATGTGAAAGGCCAACCATCCAGGGTCACAGAACTTTAGAGCCAGCTGACCCTTGCAGCCCCCTCAGTCATAGGTAGTGCTTCCAACTCAGGGACTAGCAGGGGATTCAGGACCCCCTATGAGCAGCCCGATTCATTGTTTCAACCATATGGGACACTAAGTCCTTTACCAACAGAAAGTCCAGGAGTTGCTTAGGGGAAATCCTTCCTCATGGAGGCCAGCATGGGAAGACCTTTCTCCTTAAAACCTTCAATCGAGGATTTACATTCATTTTATTTTTTATTTTCTTTAAAGTTTATTTATTTATTTCGAGAGAGCAAGCACGCCAACAAGAAAGGGGCAGAGAGAGTGGGAGAGAGAATCCTAAGCAGGCTCCTCACTGTCAGCACAGAGCCCAATGCAGGGCTGCAACTCAGGAAAACTGAGATCATGACCTAACCGAAATCAAGAGTAGACGTTTGAATGGCTGAGGCACCCAGGTGCCCTGGATTTGCACTCATTTTAGTGAATAAATATGAGTCTCCATTGTACAGAAATGAACCAAATTAGTGTGGCTCGTACACCACTGAAACTTCCTCCCCTCCAGAATCTTAGAATCCACACATTTAAAACTTGTTATAAAAGGTAAAAAGAAAATCTACCATGTAGCATATCACAGATTAGCAAAAAGCGTCTGTGTTCAGTGACAATGGCATATGTGGTCACTGCAATTTTATTTTTAGTATTTGTAGACACAGAAAAATATACAAAAATACACCCGCTCCTTTTGTTGGCCCACTTCTATCCCTAAGATAACTGGTTAGTAATGAGGTCCTTGAGCAGATTATCAGCTCTGAGAAGCAAAATGAAGACCTATAAACCCAAAATACATATTTTTCCATTTATCACCCTAGACATCACATGTGTTTGTGCCTCTTCCAGAATTTTTATTTCCAAGTATGTCTTTGTCTCACAAATGAGAATAATGCTTACTGATATTTTCCTTCCGCACAGTCTGTTCCTCCTTCCCTGCTGGAGACGTTCCTCCAATTTCGCTGCTCACCAGTTTTGACCAGTCCTTCAAGCCCCTGGTCATCTGCCACTTCTTCCACAGCATACTCCCCAACGGCGGGATATCTTTGCTCTCTGAACTCATGGAACCCTTTGCGTCTGGCTCTTTTATGGCACTTGAAGATGTTTCAACTACAACATGACATGTGCATTACTGAAAAAAAAAAAAAGCTTGCATTCTATGAAATCATATCCAAAAAGTAACCGGGCTAGTGGGAGCACAGATTTGGAGCAGACTTGAAATACTTGTCACCTCTAAGGAGCACTAGCAAACAGCAATCATTGGTCCCTCAGAAAACATTGTGGACGGCCCAGGCAACCCGTGTGTCCGGAAGCTGCCTCAGGATATGAAAAGATTACATAAGAATAGAGGCTTTTTGGAGGTGAGACATTACAAATGGAAATGGGATCTCTGAACCACTGGGGCCACTGCTACGCTGGGCCCTGGAGGAAATACAACCTGCCCTGTGTGAGAAATGTATGTGAACGGGATTCTCATCTCTGGAGAGGGGAGCCCTGTGTATAGGTACTTGTCTAAAGTTATCTTAAAATAGAGCAGAGATCAGCTATTGCTTGTGAAGTAGGAAAGTTTTTCCTTCATGCCATAATTCTACTCTCACTTTTCTAGATCTTTATGCCTAGGAAAAACCATGTAAAACCTACCCCAATTCCACAGCATACAGATATTTCCCTCCTATTTATGAATTGCAGATAATTTAACTGACATCATATTCCACTTTGAATAAAAGGTGATGATAGGTTAATGCGCAAAACCTGGGAGAAATGTTGAAATAAGTACATTTAAAAATAATAAAATCGGTACACCCCTAGAGCAAAACTGATCAAGTAAAAAGAGATTAAAATAAAATTTATTCCAGGAAGTTTAACTTAGACGAAGTAGACAAATCTCTTATAAAACACAACTTACTAAGCCTGACACAAGGAGCAGTGGAACAGCTTCACAGCGAGGAGTTCAAAGTGTATACTGTCTGAGTCCAAATATAAGAAGTTCACGAACAGACAAAAGCAATACATGGTAACAGAGGTCAGACAAGGAGTTACCTCGAGGGAGGAAATGGTTGAGGGAAGGGAAGGAGAAAGACTCTGGGGATGTATTTATGTGTTTTAGATCTTGATCTGAATGGTCGTTCCTGAGTGTATCTGCACGTAAAAATGCATCAAGCTATACAATAAATATTTATGCCTTAACTGCAGGTATGTTGTAGGACAAGTTCAGGCTCCTCGGAACCTTGTTCTCTACCAGGCCTTGTCCTTGGCTCGAATCCTAGTTTTAGCAAAGAATCCTGTTAGACTAATTTATCAAGAATCGCATCCCCCCCCCACCCCACCCCTGCTTTGATATCCAATCCAGTTCCTCTCTTTTTCCACCCTCCTAACCATACCTAACCAAGTTTTTCTGAGTAACTTCCCACCCACTCCCTGCCTATTTGCTATGAACCCCCTTTGTCCCTGTTGTATTCAAAGTTGGATTCAACCTCTCTCTCCTACTACAACAGTCTTGACTCCTATTACAAGTCTTGAATGATCTCCCTTGCCATTTTTAACAAGCATCCAGTGCAACATTTTTTCTTTTACATATAATTTAATACAACCTTTAAAAAAATAATAAAATCTAATTAAACAATACAATTTAAAATAATAAAATCATAATAAAACCTATCCACCTTTGTGTTGTTAATAGGACATGAGACTTTAACCCTTAGGAAAGGGAGTACTTTAGCAGTTAGAAATATTTCAAATCCCAACTCCGTTACGTTTTAGATGTGGGACTTAGGAGCAGTTCAGGGACTCTGAGCATTGGTCTCTTTGTCTATAAAATGGGAATAGCAGGGTCTACTTCATGGTTGCTGTAGGTTAAAATGAGGTAAACAAAAGGTGATGTGAGGAATGCGCATCCCAAGAAAACAAAATCAGGACGATATTTGTTATTCATACTCCTTATATGAAAAGTTAAGACGCGTTATTATCTTTATAACAATTATTGAATTATACTCCTGTAGATGTGACCATGGAAAAGCATGATTTGGGATGTGAATGCGGTCAGCCTCCCTGGGTGTCCCAGTGAGGTTGTAATGGGCCAGCCAGGTTTTTGTGAGAAGGCACTCGGGGTCATGGGGAGCTGTTTGCAAGCTGGCTGTGTCTCTGGGTGTTTTATGAATTTAACAAATTACAGAGCAAATTACTCTGGGCCTGTGTTCTTATTGGTAAATCGAAAATAACATTACAGATCAGTGGATTGATGTCTTAACTGGAATAATTAATATTTTCAGTTTCAGGCCCATGGCAATCACTCAATAAAGGCAGTCTGTTTTATGTTATTGCTATTATTTATAGTTATTATTACTAGAAAGGAGCCAGACTAACAGCAGCAGGCCTACCTTCAAGTTTACACACTGCTACCTTTGAACTATGTTGCATTCTTATTTCCGGTTTCATCTCTTGTTTGTTTGTTTGAGAGAGAGAGAGAGGAGGGAGGGAGTGCATGTGAGCTGGGGAGGGGCAGAGGGAGAGGAAGAGAGAGAATCCCAAGAAGGCTCCACGCTCAGCACAAAGCCTGACGCAGGGCTCTATCCCACTACCCTGGCATCATGGCCCAAGTGGAAATCAAGAATGGGACGCTTGACCAATGAGCCACCCAGATGCCCCTGGTTTCATCTATTCTGAAATGGAGAAAACCATATCTACTTGGGGGGAAAAGTAAACATCTGCTAGGCAAAGAGAAAATGTTCCAGGACCTGATTTCCTACAGGATTGTACGTAACTTTTCACAATCCTGTAGGCAAACAGCTTCTCCAATGCTTTCTTTTTACCCAGCATGATGCCCTGACTATCTTTTAAGAGGTGCAAGGAGCAGTCTTGTGCTCTGAGGTCGCGGGGGGCAGAGTTCACTGACCGTCCTCTGGTGCTTTAGTTTGGCTTTCAGACATAGGCACACTCTCAGCATCCGGAATTTTCCTAATGAACCGGCTGAGGTAATGCAGGCGAGCCTGGGAAGCCTAAAGAACAAACACTATCAACAAACAGTACAGGCAACAACATCTTAACAGTACATGAAACATGTACCACTTCAGCAGTTTGAACTAGTGCATTATTATCAAATACACTCCAATTCTAAGCCATCCATAATTTTGACGGTTATTTTTGCGAACTAGGGAAGCAGCAGTCCTAAAGCAAATACACTAGTCATGCAGTCTTAGATCTAGCTGTTCCTGAACCTTTTTTTATCTGGCTTAATAACCCTGAGTTGGGACATGAAACACATACAAGTAATAATGGCTCACTATAGCAATGGTTCTTACATAAAATACAGTGAGGGGAAACCATGAAGTATGTATATTCCACAAGGGGAAGCGATGCTGTTTATCTAGTCAAGGATGTTTAAAGTACATGAAAGGACATATTAAACATTTTTATGCTTTCTTACTTGGAGTGTGAAGGACAGACATGGATACGTCCCACACTGTGTGGAAGGATGAGGGAACCCCCGGTTTGGGCCAATAAGTGGCACCATTATGCGCTTTGCTTTTGCACCTCATCTGGTACCAGTCATCTGCACAACATTTCACGATTTGTTCAGATGTGGTCTTAACATTTAGTTAGTCAGTGTCTAACAAAATCCCAGATATCACTCCTAAAGGAAAGACTGTGTGGTTTCACCATCATGGCTCTCCCTTCAGACCAATGCCTGGGAGTGACAAGGTAAAGAACAACTTTTCAAACTCAAGTGACCTTGATAGCCCTTCCAGGCTCAGTCATCTCCCAGGCTTGCTTCATGGCTCGGATTTCATCTGCTCGTTCGGTATCTTTTTTCAGTTCGAAACTGTCTGCTTCGTTGTGCTCGGTGACCAGCCTCAAAATCCAGTAGGGTTTATTTGGGTCTTCTTGTTGAGGGTGAAAAGTGGACATCTGATAAATAACATACAAACCTTTGGGTCAGGTGTTTTGCTCCATTCAAAGGGTTTGAATTTTACCTTATGATCCATAATTTCACTACTAAGTATTTACCAAGAGAAATGAAAACACATGTTCACAAAAATACTTGGAGAACATTCATTACACCTTACTCTTAAGAGCCAAAAAAGGAAACAATATAAATGTCTACCAATTGGTGAATAAATGATCATCTATCCATATGATTGAATACTATTTAATATTGAAAAGTAATTGGGGTGTCTGGATGGCTCAGTTGGTTAAGCATCCGACTTTGGCTCCAGTCATGATCTCATGGTTTGTGAGTTTGAGTCCCGCATCGGGCTCTGTGCTCCAGCCAGAGCCTGGAGCCTCCTTCAGATTCTGTGTCTCCTTCTCTCTGCCCCTCCCCCACTTGCACTCTGTCTCTCTCTCTCTCTCTCTCTCTCTCAAAAATAAATAAACATTACATTTTTTTAAAAGAAGTAATAAACTACAGAAGTATACCACAATGTAGAGGAATCTCACAGATAGACATCATACTGAGATAAAGGAGCTGAGCAAAAGAGAATACATTTTCCATGATTCATGTGTATGTAAATAATGGAACAGTCAAAACTGCTCCCTGGGGTAAGGTATGAAGATGACAGAATCCATTACAAAGAGGTTTGAGGGGTTTCCAAATTATGGAAATGGCCTGTACTTTATTCCTTGTTAGAGATGTGGATGTGGATTACAGGGTGAATACACTTGTCAAAATTTATCGAATTGTACATTTAAAATGATTGCATTTCACTGCATGCAAAGTTTACATAAAAGCTGTAAACCAAAAAAAAAAAAAAAAAAAAAAAAAAAAAAAAAAAAAAAAAATCTAAATTACATTGAGGGTTACCTAGTATCTCTTTCCAAAACATGAGGGCATGGATGATAGATCATTTCCAGGTGTGGATATACGGAAAGTTAACTTTTTGATATTTATGAAATCATTATGAAAGTTAAATTTTGATATTTCATAGGATCATTTTCATGAACCATAGGCTGAGAGCAGATCGACATAGGGCTTGAAATGTCTAGACAAGTGAGCCTCATTGGTGAGGGTCTGGTAGGGTGAGAGGCTTGAATGTAACATGGTTACTAACACTGTACATATGACTGAGACAATGTCAGTTACCCAGGTTAAATGATACACGGAGGAAACAGGGATCAGTAGGGTCACTGAATAAAGTTTTTGTGGGCAGTTTGCTTTCAATCTTACCAAAAAGATCTTGCTTTCTACAACATTCCCCTAATATTTGGATGAGAACCTAAATCTCACAATTGGAAATTCTTTTATTTCTTTCTTTTACACCACAGTACAAGGGATTTTACCGTCTTTTATATTACTTGATAAATGAGTTTATCAGAAACTTCTCTGGGATCAGGAAAGGGAGTATTATGAAATATTAAGGGGTGGGGGCCACATGTCTTATAAATAAGTTTATGGATTGAGTTAAGCTCATTTGTTTACAACTTCAATAGCTTATTTTGTTGATGATACGAATATTTTCTCAGTGAGTTCAAATAATTGAAACACCGAATTATAAATTGAAGCCACGTTTAGAAAAGTTAACACACAGCATTGTCTTGAAGCTTCAAGGGAAAAAAGTGGTGAACTAAAACCACTTCACCTCTGTTTTTTAAACAAACAACGTTAAAATAAGCTAATTTCATTAAATTTTTAAAAATATTTATTTATTTTTGGGAGAGTGCAAGGAGCAGAGGGGCACAGAGATGGGGACAAAGGATCTGAAGCGAGCTCTGTGCTGATTGGCTGATAGGCTGACAGCAGCCAGCTAATGTGGGGCTTGAACTCAGGAACAGTGAGATCATGACCTGAGCCAGTCAGACACTCAACCGACTGAGCCACCCAGGTGCTCCCAAATAAGCTAATCTTAAATAGAAAACTGTACCTGGTCCTCTTATATTTCAAATATAATAATCCCTTTATGGAGAAACTTCCCCTTTTCCCTATCCATTTAGATATTGCAATAAAAGACAGCATTTGGATTGGAAAATGTAGCCAGTGAAAAAGTAAGTAAGGTAAATTTAAGAAATTAGCTTTTCCACATGAAATAAAATCAATGATCAAATAAATTTGACACGATCATGGTGACTAAGGTGAAAATACAAAGTATAATATAAAAGTTTCCAGTTTCTGGTTTGGCACATATACATTTTCAAACAGGAAACATTATAACTGCAGTGTCTACTAAAACCTACTAGCACAATATTAAGATTTCTAAAGCTTAGTTATTAATATCTTAAAACTTAATTCCCATGTGAATTCTGTAACCAAGCATGCACTTTTTGCTGTGCAGGCTAAGCCAAGCACCATCTTTCTTTTCCAGGATTCCCCAGAATTCATGAGTATCTCAAAGTTAACTCAGACCAGATCCCACAATTCCTTCTTAAATGGTAGATCTTCTGAAGAAGCTTTTCAGTTTCCAGAATATATGCATATATTCATTACAATTTCAAACAGAATGGAGGCCACCATCCATGTCAGTTTTTAGTTTTATACAATCATCAATTTTCTGCAGAATTGCTTTTTCTTGACTTCATATTTTTGCAAACTTTTTAATTCCTTCTTCAATTCTTTTTATGTACCTGAACCCTTTCAACTGCACTGATTCAGCTTTTCATTTTAACTTTCATCTAGAGGTATCTTTTCACACAATATAGGGCTAAATCTAAAGTAAGTGTCCCAGGGCACCTGGGTGGCTCAGTTGGCTGAGTGACTGAGTCTTGATTTCGGCTCAGGTGATGGTCTCATGGTTGTGAGATCGACTCCCGTGTTGGTTTCTGCACTGGCAGTGCGGAATCTGCTTGGGATTCTCCCTTTCCATTTCTGCCCCTTCCATTCCTCACTCTCTCAAAATAATTAACCTTAAAAAAAAAAAAATTCTCTCTCCCTCTCTCTCTCTCTCTTTCATTTTTTTTTTTTTTTTTTTACATTTATTTATTTTTGAGACAGAGAGAGACAGAGCATGAACGGGGGAGGGTCAGAGAGAGAGGGAGACACAGAATCCGAAGCAGGCTCCAGGCTCCGAGCCATCAGCCCAGAGCCTGACGCGGGGCTCGAACCCACGGACCGCGAGATCGTGACCTGGCTGAAGTCGGACGCTTAACCGACTGCGCCACCCAGGCGCCCCTCTCTCTCTCTTTCAAAAAAAATAAAATAAAATAGGTTGCAGGAAGTAATAAATCATCAAGTACTATATGGACTTCTGTATCTGTAGCATGGTTTATGATATTAAACAGTTTGGTTTTCTAGCTTGTGTATGTTGTGGTGTTTCTCACATTTGTCTTATAATTTCCAATGCCTAGGGACACTACTATGCGTGCTAAGGGAACATCTGGCCAAAGACGTTTAGGCAACGTTTATGCTCGGGCAGTGCTCATACCTATGAGTTACTCAGAAACAAGCCACCTTGAAGAAGATCGTTTCCCAAATGCACACTAGGCAAAGTGGCCTGGAGCAGCAGATGTGGCTGGAATGGCCTGCCACACTTTGTAACGACAGCTGCCCAAATCGTGAGAGCTGACTCCAGGAAAATGAGCGTCGTTTCTGCACACAAAAGCCTTCGGCAGATTCCCTGTTTATCACGGCCCTCAACTGCAGCCACCTCAGGACGCGCAGGATTTCTGCCTCTTCCAATCGCTAGTGCATTTTCCATTCTAAATCTTCAACGTATTTCCCCACAGCTGACTCATAAAATGCATGGCTCCGACTCATTTTGACTGCTTTAACTGTGACATTTTGTGAAAGCATAAGCGATACGAATTTTTGATGAAGTTCCTCACATTCATCCGGGGTCCTGTGAATTAACCCCCACAGGAAAGCTCATACAGCACCAGTGTTTACACCCCAAATGCAGTCATAGAGCTTCTGAGTAAGTTCGACTAGTTTTTGAAGTATCTAAAAGTGCCCCTCTACCATCAGTGGTGAGAATTTGGACACCTCTTCCTTTCACTGGATTCAGGTAGCCAATTAAGGCCTGAAGGGCACCATTCTTGTCCCCATTGTAATAAATATGGACTAATTCTTTCCATGGAAGCCATTTGTCCTCCCTCGGGAAATTCTAGTAGATGAAAAGTCCGTTCTTCAACTCTCTTAATGCAGAGTTGTGGGTCAGTTGTTCTTAATGTTTGAACTAAACCCGGGTTCTGTCATTAACACTCACCCTTGCAATCTTCTCTTGCTGAGGAGATGAATTCTTCTTCTCTTCTGCTTTTTTGCCTTTGCCATAGCCCACTCAGCTTTAATCACCTGTTTTTGTTCTTCTGACTCTTCTGACTGAATGATACTTTGATTTGGGGGTAAGCCCTCCATATAACCAGCTGTCAAGCTTCTATGCCTTCAGTGGGATAAGAAAGCAAGTTAGCAGTACTTTGTTTAGTAGAAACTGGACGAATGTCAGCTGTCCCAGTGGGGCTTGAAGACTTGTCCATGGAGTATAAAGAAGATTCTGAGCACAGTTTCTTGTCAGTCAGGATGTCAGGACCTGGAGAAAACCAGATTTTTCTTCTCCAGTGTTTTGTCTTCAATTTCTGATTCATCCTAGACATGTTTATGTTCGTTTTTTTGAGGCATTTTCCCCTCAGCATGTGAAGTATGAATTAACATGATTTGACAAAAATTGGAATGACTTCAAATTTTGTGGTTATACTATTTGTGTAATAAAAGGCTTTACTCATCATGACTCTTCTTTTCTGGAAAACTATTTTCTGCCGATTGAGCACTGTATCTTCTCAGAGATTTTTAACCAGCCGCCAACTGATACTTTTTAAAATATCCTAGAACTCAGCTTACCTTGAGCTAAATGTGAAATCATTTCATTCTGATTGCCCAAAACAGCTTCTGAAACAAACTTCAAAGTACTTTTAAAAATAGGACATACAGATGCTCCCTTCTGTAAGTCCCTTGGGAGAAGAAGTGCTAAGTTTCCAAATTCCAATATGTAGATTGGGGGTGCTTAAAGAGTCACAGGGCTTACCACAACAATCTGCTTCACTTTGGGCCCGTTTACATCTTATTTTGCTTGTATGAAAACCCTCTTTGTAGACCGATGTGACTTGTCCTGCGCGTACAAGAAATGCAGCTGCTTGCTTCTCGGCTTCGCAGGGGACTTCTTGCCTCGTGGTTTGTAGGTTGCAACCTCTCCAGCAGCAGTGGTGGCTTGCCTGTTTCCAGCACTGGCATTGACAGGGGCCATTGTGCGGCAGCTGAGTCCCCATGAAACTAAGAGCACCAGCCCTGGGGCCACGTGGTCATTTCCATTCCAACCCCCGCAGAGGTCAGGTTAAGCTTCTTTACTTCACAGTGTTTCCAAGAGTAGACTTCAATTAAGAAATTAAATCTTGGCAATGCAAGTGGACAGGATTTTCCACTACTGGAGTGTAGGACAGCTGACCGTTATGTCTTCTAGTTTGTTAATTTTCCTTTATTGTCCTTTACTGGTGGTCTCAACATCCTTCCTCTTCAGTTGATTCATTTGCAAACTTGAGAGATAACCTTTGTTCCTTCTTGTTCCTGACCCCCATTTTGGGATTAAGAACTACATACACTGTTTCCTTGATAGTTCTTTTTGGTCCTCTGCTTCTTTCTTACCTGTACCTGCTATACCTTGCCCTCTCTTGCCTAGACTACTGCAGTACTTTGTTGAATGATTTTCTCCATCTCTAGTCTTTCCCCCTTTAAAAGTATACCTTTAAAAGCCACCAGGGTATCTGAAATGTAAATCTGATCATGTCAATACATTTTTTTTACCCCCCCCTTCCCCCGTCCTACATCTACCCTGGCTTAACTTACGCAGTGATCACCAATGTCGGGAAGATTTTGTCCTCATAGGTATTTTGAGTTCAGTGCTTTTAAATAACCTGAATTTGAGTATATTTAGGCCTGTGCTTGTATTTCTCAACTTTGCCCCACATCCTTTTCCTTACCCCTAATCATTGTAATTACTGAACTGGCCCTGAAGGAATTTGGAATCATGACCTCTGGGCTGTAGACAGAGTCCCAGCCTCCTAATCAAAATTAAAGGCCCTCCCCCTTCTGACCCTTACTTACCCCTCTAGCCCCATGTCTCAAACTTTAATGCTAAAGAAAAAAAAGGCAGATTGTGTTAGATTTCACCTTAGAAGTCTTTGCTCATTGACTCAGGTCAGGATTTCGCTGCTCTTGGAGAAAGAGGCCAGAATAAGTACAATATCTACCATTAAAACCTCTGTTTACCTTCGGTCTCCTCCATTAGACTGTAAGTTCTTTGAAGGTAGGGACTGTGTAATATTAATATTAGAAGCCCAATGCCCCAAAGCAGTGTCTTACAGACACACATGTCTTAAAAGTTTGATTAATGATTTTTGATACTAAACTAGGGCAAGCAGCTTGCAGAAGGTGTCCAAGGAATTTCCTTAATTTATCTAGTCAGTTGCTAGAATCAAGGAGATGGAATTTTTCAGTTTTGACCTCAGGAGAGATAGTCAAGTAGGGACCCAATGAATCTACATTTATTAAGTGACTCCAATAAAAAA